ACTGTATATAAACAGAAAGCAAACCCCATTCCATTCTAGCACTGAAGATGTTACCTAGCCATCTCAGAGAACCCCAAGGACTCCATAAAGTACAGTTACATAAAATGACTATAATCTTAATGGCCTATGCAAACCAGGCCATTAAGAAACCAGTTTTTTTCTTACAATTGTCTATTAAGTTTCAGTATTTGCCCATTATAAAAACCTGAGCTTTATTAGCAACCCCTGAAGGCAGAAGTTGAACATGGAAAATGTAGTTTCTTTCTCCACTGAAAGGTGAAATATTGTAATGTTGTAATCCACCTAGAGTCAAGTTGGATATATATTGGTGGTATATATATTTCATGAATAAATAATAAATTATCAAAGATACTTGTAATGAAGATGTACACTCTAAATAGCCAATTCTTTGAATGTTTCTACTATTATTAAAAGAATTGTTTAATTATGTTTTATTTTATATATATATGCACTTTGTCACAACTGTGACTGGGAAGTTAACCACAGCAAAAGGATTTTTTTTTTTAGTTTGAATATATATTCAGTTTTTGGATCACAGCTGTTTCATACACGCAGAAGCAGTCTTTCAAGTACAGATACACGCTGCAAGTAACCAGATCAGTCAGAACCCTCTTATATAAAAATCCATTTCAAGTATGTATTTAAGCAAGTCCATTATACTTTAATGAAAATGTAGACTACAAATCATCCCTCTATCTTATGAATTCCTGGAATAAAAAACTGCTATACCATTTTGGGTAAGTTTGGTAGAAGATAGCTGAGTAGAGATTGAAAAAAACTCTTTGGTGCTACGCTGGAAAATCAAGCTTGAAGGGATGTTGGGACAGCCATTATAGTCTTCTTTGCAACATGGAAGACCCAGGTATAGTGCATGGTTATTGAATGTGCTGTTTTCATCACACTGGAGACATAAGAAAATAAATTGTTCAATTTGTTATTTTATTCTATACACACTGTATTGTATACATTCTATACAGACTATACTGAAAAGCTACACTGATTCTATTCATGCATATGTTCTGCATACAGAATACGTACAGCCTTCATTTATTAATTATATCATTTAGAAAACCATCACTTTAACTGTTACGATAATCAAAAAGTTACATGTATCTGCCATTAGAATTAGCTTCCTTTTAAATATCAAAATCAGATAAACAACTCCTGTCAAAGTTTTTACAGGGATTGAAATGTATCCCTTTGATCCCAAAATGCAATAGTTTTCATTTATTTTATCTGTCAAGGATTCTAAATATCTGTTTCTATCTATTCAAATCAAAATATCATTCTTTGCTAAATGGAGTGCTTTTTTTCAGACTCTGTGTGGGATACTCAATTCTATCCAAAGACAGTAATGGAGTACCCCAAAAATTTTTTAACTCATGTTAATATTATATTCAGATGGCTCTAGAATAAAACTAGAAAAAGGGAACAAAGATGTTAGTGATACTTTTCTATAATTATTAACTGCAATATTTTGATTTTTTTATTTAGAAAAAGTTAAAACTGTAACATTTTTTAAAACACTTGGAATTCCAAACCTGCAAACTTTTATGGAACAGATGTGTTTCATCACATTAAATATAAGCCAAAGAGGGGACACAATCTTGGACGGACCAAAACACAAAAAGAATGATGAACAATTGTACCTTATAAACATAAAGTTCATGAATATCATCAGATAGGGTAGTGCCATCATCTCTCATTAATGGTGTAAAAGCAAAGCCAAAGAGCTTCTTTTCTCCTTTATCTTTTGCTGCAATAACAAAATTAAATGTTTACAGACATTCTTGAAGTGACAGACTAGGACCTTAACTTACCTATAACAAATGGAAAGCCAATATGCTGTGGTAGTCACGGTGCATATGTACAACTAAAGAAACAAGGGTTCTTTTTTTTAATAGTAATTTTCTAGAGCTTGAGTAGGCAACTTTCGTTTCTGTACTGTTTCTATACCTATGAAATTAGTGGTTGCCCCTGAGTCTATAAGAGCAAAAAGTTCCACCTTTTGCCTGGAATCTAAAATAATAATAACAGAAGTAATTAAGTATATTTGCCTGTTGTTCGTTGACTGAGCTGTCCTCAAATGGTGGATGGCTCCCCCTTCAGAGCTCCTGGGGGGGGCGTTGGTGAAGTTTTCCTGGAGTGCTGCTTTGAAGCGAGCTGGGCACTTGCTGGCTACACGCTCTGCTGATTTACAAGTTCTGCATCTCACTGCTATGTCAGATACTGGCACTTTTACCGGGCATGCTCTGGCTATGTGTCCTGGGGCCCCACAGTAAAAGCACAGTCCCTGATCCCTTCTTGTTTGCTTTTCTCATGATGAAAGGGATCTCTTGGCTACTCCAATTTGCATGGGTTCTCCCATGCTGGATTCCAAGGAGGCCATTGAGAGGGGTGGTATCTTTAGGCAACATCTCTTTGCCCCGTCTCCCAAGGTGTTTCCCACATACCATTACAGTCCATTTGTAACTTTCCAAAATCAATGTCCTAATCACCCTTTTGCTGTTTACTCCCAAAAAGAGAATTTTGTAAAGTCCTTAAATTTATATTTAAAACTTCTTCCACTAAGGATTGAAGGAAACTCACCCGGTGCTAAAAAAAGCTTGTTACTCCAAAGGTTCCTAACAGCTGAAAAGCAATTCACAAGCAATTCCCAAAAGTGATTAAAAAAGGAGATATGCGAATCCAGTGTCCTTTGAAAAGGCGCCAACTGCAGTTTAGGCTAAGATAGTGCTCCCTCATCTCCCAGAGCTCTAAACCTGCTGAGACCACTGTTTTGTGGCCTCCTTATGAGGAGCAACTGCCTGGAGCATTTGTGAGTGATCCCAAGTCCTCTCCTTGTCTGGAGAGGAATCACAAAGAGCTGGTCCACTTGCTGGCTCTTCATTCTGCCACGGTCGTTGGTTCCACTCTCAGTAGAGCTGTCTTCAGTTCACCATTTCTTCCCCAGAAGTCCCAAGAAACCAGGGTTCAAATCCTTACTCAAACATTTAATTCACTGGGTGATTTTGGACTAATCAGTCCCAACCTGACATGTCATAAAGTTATAATAATAAAAAACACTGCTTTCAACCAATTTATAGTTGTGCAGCTGTAAGTTAGATAAATTCCTGCAACTATTACTGGCTGAAACAGGTGTAATAATTTACCTTGTCATATATTTTCAAGTGATTTCCTGCTCCATTCACTAATCTACTGAAAAAATGAAGATATCACAATTAGGTCTACTGCAGATGTAGAAACATGTTATACTCACTGGAACAATGTCTGAATTCAAAACGGAGGTGAGACCCACGGAATCTGTCAATGGGAATTGGGAGTTTGATGACTTCTCCCCAACGAGGGCTATTATTATGATAGAGAACAAAGGAGTGATACACACTCCTATTTGGCTCTCCTGAGCCTAAGCTAATGCAGTCCTGGGGGAAAAAAGGTACAAGGTAAGAATAGTAAAATACTACACTAAACATGATACAAGATACTAAAATACTAACAATCTCATGTTAACAATACAGGGATTTTGTATATTGTAATTAGTCTATGTTGTGCATGTAGCCCTCGTGCCAGACTGTCAATTCACATTCCCATAGGAGGGGAAGACACATTCTTTGTCACATACTCCAGCTCCTTCCTCTGCCGGATATAGAACACATTTGGTCTTCTATCTCCCCAACATGCTCTGTGGAAAGGCTGGCATTTCCACAAAGTTAAAGTAATCCAGGAATCTTGAAGCAAAGGATAATTTTGTTTTAGGAAGTTACATATTTCTGTAGAAATAGGTAAACTGCCCAGCCAAGATTATTGTGCTACGTTTGATTTGTTTTCTGTGTAACATTAAGTCCAGTTGTCCAGAGTTAAGTACATCTTTGGATAAGGAAAGTATATCTTTGGATGATGGCTGGCTAAGCTGGCCAGGAAGGCCTTAAACTAGAATGCAAAGGGGTGGGAATAAGTGAGTAGCAGATTGGCTAGTAATGGATTACATACAAAAGAAAAACTGTAGTGTAGTGATAATACCAGTTTAACAAGAAACAAAGGAAATACAGGCATTAAAGGGGAGGTATAAAAGGGAGACTGAAGAAAGTGAGCCTAACCTGTTATCTTAAATGCCTCTATACTATTGGACAAGGTATAGGAAACTAGCAAGATGAACTTGATGTCATAAGGTACCAAGGCATGTATGGCATAATAGGGGTTACAGAAACATGGTGGGATGAATCCTAGCAGTGGGACACTGGACTTGATGGATATACCTTTTTTCAGAAAAACAGGCAACTCAAAAATGGATATGATGTAGCACTGTACAGGTAGTCCTCACTTACAACTGCACCGTTTAGCAACAGTTTGAAGTTACCACAGCACTGAAAAAGTAACTTTACAACAGGTCCTCACATTTAAGATTGTCACAGCATCCCCATGGTCATGTGATTGTGATTTGGGTGCTTGCCAACCAACAGGTGTTTACAATGGTTTCAATGTCCTGTGGTCACGTGATTGCCATTTGTGTGCTTTACAGCCAGCTTCCAACAAATAGAGTCAATGGAGAAGGTAGCAGTAAGTCACAAGTCAGAGTCACATGATGTCTCACTTAATGGGTGGGTGACTTACTTAACAACCACAGTGAAAGTTATGTTGTAAGTCCATAACAGTCACGTGATGTCTCACTTAACGACCACATTGCTTAGCGACATAGTTTCCAGTTCTAATTGTGGTTGTTAAGCAAGGACTACCTGTATATCAAGAATGAATTTGCAGAGAAATTCAACTCCAGTTCTGCCTCTGTCTTAACATCCCAAGGAAATGATGAATTGAATAGCACATTTGGAACAAACACAATAGGGGAGGTACAGGTCAGTAAGAATATAATACAGGATCTTCTAGCTAATTTGAAGGCTTCAAGTCCCCAGGTCCTTATGAAATACACCTTAGAATTGGTGGAAAACTGGAGGAAAAGCCGTCAGTAGAGAATTGGGATGATATGAGAGAACTAGAGAAGAGGAATGTGACCCCTCTGTTCAAGAAAAGGAACAACGTTTTGCATTTCTGTCCTTGAGTTATGGTCAGTGACCATGAGAGATTGTGGGGAGGCTGGAAAAGTTTTGCAAGGAGTATTAGGCATAAACAATCAAGAGACAGAATGGTAGTTCCTTGGTAGCATTTCTTATGAACAGCAACTCAGTCTAAGTAGCAAGAAACCTGGGAAGAAATGTTCAAATCATTTAAAGAGACTCTGCCTTAATTATCTCTCATTATAAATAAGGGGGAGAAATTCCTCTTGTAGTTTCTAACATTCTGTATTTACTCCAAGATTAGTGTTAAGAAATCTTATTGAAGATTCTTGTAATCTTTGTTTTTTTTTAATGATCTCCAACTGTGTAGGGCTTGACAGTGACTCATACTCATGCTGGAACAAGCTGGTTGTGCGGATCAGAGGTGCAATTCTTTAATGCTTGTTTAAATAAATAAAAAACTAACATACCAACAACACCCAACTCTAAAGTTATATGTGATTATTTTAAGTTGCTTCATACAGATCAGGGGAAAAAACCTATGATTTTCTGGATATTACTGAATTATAAATTCCAAGTGCCACAATCTGTATGTCCAGTGGTAAGGGAAGCTGGGAATTGTAGTTCAGCACCCAGACACAAATTAAAAAGCAAGTATCAATCCCTGAGAGATACCACAGCTAAATCACTAGTGGCTGTCCTCTGAATGTGGGGAGACAAGTAATACCACTTGTGAACCAGCTGTCATAATAATATACACAATGAAAGAAGCAATGTATTGTTTATATATAATTTTGTTCTGTGAAAGAGCCCCATATTTTGACCTATTCTGCTTTTCCTCCTCATAGTTTCTTCTAGATTTTGCAACTCAATTTATACAAAACACTGAAAACAAGAGCTAGTAACTATTCAGTGTTGATACAAATTTTATTCATTTATTTATCAAATTTATATAGCTGCCCATCCCATGGATGTACTCAAATGAAGAAGATGGAAATAAAACAAGGTTATTCCATATATGGAGAAGTGGGATATAGAATCAATGAGATGGAGGAAGTGAGATGCAAGAAGAGTTGGCATCACATCCTTAAAGGGGAAATGATTACAAAATTGAGAGGAAGAAGATTCTGGACTTTGCCTCATGGGATAGATCAGGTTGTTGGTTCCCATTTTTCCCAGGACCACTCTTCCACCTGACCCTGTCTCTGAGAAACTGACAGAAACTATGGATGGTAAGAACTTAATATCATCCTTCTTCTGAAGAGATTTCCCCTCCCTGCCCTGCTTCCCATTTTCCTTTTCTTTCCCATTTTTCTCTTCTTTATATTAGGATGCTTAATTGGTAATCATTTGCCAAATTTTAGACATTAAATTTGATAACCATTCGCTAAGTTTCAGGTAGAAGAAACAACATCTGACCTTTTGTAATAAAAAATTAAACTTTAAGTAAATGAGCAATAAAAGTAACTTGCCTTGATTTTTTTTTAGCTTTATTTAAATAACATAAAAGGGTATAGTGTGAATGTTGTGGCAGGGAGAATGGAACATACTGAATGAAGTATCTTGGGGATAATAGGAGCCAATCTGGTAAGGATATTGCTGTGATATCCTGGAGCCAATCTGGAACTGCATCACTGTCGCATCCTGGGGCCAGACTTGGTACAGATCTCCCTGGAGGCAGAGGCTGACTTATGGGCTCAAGCTGCTAATGTGGAAAGCCTCAGAGGGACAATCCAAGGTACTTGGCTGAGTGAGTCAAAGTATGGACTCACAAAAAGAAAAGGAGTAGAAAGTAAAGAAAAAGTGTGTGTACACTCTTAGCCCAGGGTGGACACAATAATAGTTTAGCAATAATAGTAATTCTGTAGAATGATATGATCCATAGAGATAATTGCCACAAGAAGTTGAGAAAAAGCAGGTGAGTGAGTATGATGGTTATGGGTACCCATAGAGGGTTTTCCTCAAAGTTCTGATGAGTGCTCACCCCTCTCTCCTGGTCTAGAATTGCTTTGCTCTAACAGGACCATGTGAGTGTAATCTAAAATGTTTAAAACAGATGAATATAAAAACTTAAAAATCAATCATTGTCTAAAAGCCCTCATAGATAAGAAGATTCTAGTAATTTGGTAGAAGCTCATTAAAGAAAGAACAAGATGAATTTCTCTTAGAAGCAACTGACAACTGATTCTATGTGCTCCTATAATGTGGGCAAGGTGAATTCTTCAATATTATTATAATAATCCAGTTATTTTGGTTTTAGGGTATAAGAAAAGAGAAGAGATGGTTTTCATAATATTCTGTGCAATGCAATACAATTTGAAATGTGTAAATCCAATAGAAGGATCCTTTGGGAAGGGTATTATAATTCAACATGCAAATAAGTGGTTGGAATCCTCATTGAACTCTGACCAGAGTGTAAAATGAGGAAAACTATGTTACATTTCCATGAACTTTTTGGTGAAAAGATGGAACAGTGATGTAATGATAAATTAAATGGTCCAACTAAGAAACAGCTAGTGCTAGATATTCTTAGATAGAAAATAAATAGAGCAGATTTAATCATGCAAAAGAATCTTGAATCATAACATATCAGTGAAATGAGCAATTTTCCTAACTGAGAAATAAGCCGTTCTATTTTTTGCTTCAATTCATCAGTAATTTAAAATTAAGATTAAGAATTTCAAACCTTCCAAGTATAAAAGATTTTAAATTTAAAAGAATTTAAAGGCAACAATGACAGAACTACACTGAATAAAGAATGTAAATATTTACCTTTAGAATCTCTCCATCTGCATACAGAACGTACATAGTTACTTCTATATTCTTTTGAACACTTTTTCCACCTCTCTCAAAGTCTCCTTTCTCTAAAGTCAAGTACAAATCATTTCGTATATCACCTACATACAAGGAGAGAAAATGTTTTTAGAAAAGAACACATAACAAATTATTCTTCTGGACAAGCCAATGATATTTTGTTCACTATTTTGATGAGAAACCAACTCATTCCAATTGTAAAATGAATAGTTAATAAAAATGAACATTTTAATACCAGTGTATTATATTTGATGGCTGTTAGTAATGCTTTATGAAGTCTGAAATCAGAAAACCAGTTATGAGACAAGGGACAGGGAGAGGACATGAGGTAAGATTTTCATATTCCTTTTAATTTATCCAGATAACAAATAAATGGTCAAATCATTCACAATTGTTCGATTTGCACATTGATAGCTAATTCATAACCTGCTGTAGACATAAGGTCAATACTCTTTTATTGCATACATACTCCCATCCCCTCTGTAGGACAGGTCTACCCAGCAAAATCTTTCAAGCAACTACAGTGGCGCTTAAAAGTTTGTGAACCCTTTTGAATTTTCAATATTTCTGTATAAATATGACTGAAAACATGATCTGTTCTCCACACCACAAGTCCTAAAACTAGATAAAGGGAACCCAATTAAACAAATGAGTCAAAAACATTATACTTGTTCATTGATTTATTGAGGAAAATTATCCAAAATTACATATTTGTATGTGGCAGCAGTATGTGAACCTCTAGGATTATCAGTTCATTTGAAGGGGAAATTAGAGTAAGGTGTTTCAATCAAAGGCATATGTCAGTGTTCATGAGACCACCATCAGGATAACACTGAACAACAATGGTGTGCATGGCAGGGTTGCAAGGAGAAAGCCACTACCCTCCAAAAAGAACATTGCTGCCCATCTGCAGTTTGCAAAAGACCACGTGGATAAGACAGAAGGCTATTGGAAGAAATGTTCTGTGAATGGATGAGACCAAAGTAGAACTTTTGGGCTTGAATGGAAGTGTTATGTTTGGTGAAAGGCAAACAGTGCATTCCAGTATAAGAACCTTATCCCATCTGTGAAACATGGTGGTGGCAGTATCATGGTTTGGGCCTGTTTTGCTGCCTTTGGACCAGAATGGTGTGCTGTCATTGATGGAACTATGAATTCTGAACTGTACCAGCAAATTCTACAGGAAAATGTCAGGGTAGCTATCTGTGAACTGAAACTCTAGAGAAAGTGGGTCATGCAGCAAGACAACAACGCAAAATGCACAAATCATATGACCAAAGAATGGTTAAAGCAGAAGCAAGTTTGTTTTGGAATGGCCAAATCAAACTTCTGACCTTACTCCTATAGAAATGTTGTGGAAGGATGTGAAGTGGGCAGTTCATGCAAGGAAGCCTACCAACATCCCTGTGTTGAAGTTGTTCTGTAAGGAGGAATAGGCTAAAATTCCTCCAAGCCAATGTGCAGGACTGTTTAAAAGTTATTGGAAACATTTAGTTGCAGTAATTGCTGCCAAAGGGGGGCACACCAGTTACTGAAAGCAAAGGTTCACATAATTTTGCCACAGATAAAAATGTAGCTTTGTGCCATTCCCCTCAATAAATAAATGAACAAGTATAATATTTTTGACTCATTTGTTTAACTGGGTTCTCTTTATCTAGTTTTAGGACTTGTGGAGAACAGATCACATTTTTGATCATATTTATGCAGAAATATTGAAAATTCAAAAGGGTTCACAAACTTTTAAGCATCACTGCATGTTGAGAAACAACTGGCAAGATTCTGACCTGAGTGACACTCCTCTTACCACAATTGTGCTTTTATTTTCCTTTCATCCCAAAACAACCATCTTTACTAATTCTGCAGACCCTAAAGGTTTCCCTAAAACCTTCTTTATCAATAGTAAGTAAAAGCTGCTGATTTTTTAACATACTAACATTTATACTTTACTAGACTTTTTATGGATAATTTCTTACTTAGAATCTTGCTCCACTACCTTCTCTAAATGCGTATCAAATAGTTACCCTACACCAAGAGTGCAAAATTTGTGACCTTCAGGCTATATATAAATTGCCAACACAATTATTGTGCCCATTAAAGGCTGACCAAGCAAATTTGGCTGATTTTTTGTTACAGTTTAAGGAAGTTTTAAAGGACAAAATGGGTGGCTTAAGCCTTGCAGAGGCTAAAAGCGCTTATTTTGCCCCTTTGAACCCCAACTGCTCAGCCCCATTTCAGATCCTACCCCTTTAGAAGAATGGCCTTGGTGTACTGTGCAAAATCCTATGTGGTCTCCTGAACCAATGGACACCACTTCCATTGGCTTCAAATACGCATTAGTTAAAGGTTGTGTAATATACACCTTAAAACAGAGAGTTCTGGAGATTTCCACTGGATCAGAATACCTATAACTGATTAATCCTTTCTATTTGTAATAAGGTAAGTCCAGGGGGGCCATGTGGCTAAATTCCTGAGCAAAAACTGTCTTCCCCTCATGGTGAAACTGGGAGGAGTTTGCTAGAGATTTTGTTCTTCTGAATTTTCCTGGGAACAACAGCTGGCTGTAGTAAAGGAAAAAAAGGAATCTAAACTCTTCCCCAATGTTTGTTTATCTGAAATGCTTCTATGCTGCTTCAAGTTGTCAGTAAATCTAACAGGAAGCAGAAAAGAATCTAACCCCTCTATGTGCAGTGCCTAACTAGATAGAAAATAAAACCAAACTGTAACAGCACTCTGTATGTTCAAGTAAAGCCTGAGTGTATTGTTCCTTGGTTCATACTGCCTCTTTTGAGGCATCATACTTTTCTGTAATTCCAATTCCCGTCCATGTTTATCTTTGTTATGGAGTGTTCTTAATAAAATTTAAAAACTATTTTAAATAGTTATTTGGTGCCAATTTGTGTCTTCCGATCTGTAATCTAATATCTGGTCTAATAACAGATACTGAGCTTGTATTCCTCCTACTACAGGCATTTTCTTTTGTTTGGCTTTGCTCTTATATCACTGCTTGAGAGGAAGAAAAAAAGGTATATATTGTGCATACATATTAACATAATCATTAAAGTACTTCCTTTCAGAGTAAGCAACATTATACAGAGCACAGAAAAGGACTAAGAAATAATAAGCCAAAGAATTTAAGTCAAAAACTAAGAAAAACAAAAGTAAATACAGCTAAATTGAATTTACAGCGATACCATTCACTAGAATTCTCCATACCTTTCTATCTTTGGAAACCATCCTACTTTCTACCATATTCATACACCAATTCACACATTGCCCTTATTTCTTTAGGAGAAAAGAAAGTAGTGCCAGCTATGAAAAAGAAGTTGTGGCAACTTATACCAACTGAAGGAAATAACTGCTGCATCCATCAGCCCAGGGTGTCCTGGTTGGATGGGGTAGATCCAGCATCAGATCCATTACATGGTGGCAACAAGCGAATCTTTGAACACAAGTAGCAACTCTAGTAATCACATGACACATTTAGGGTTGTTGTTTTTTCCACTTTTCATTTTACCTTTTTGGGTAAGAAAAATAGGGTAGGGGAAGATGCTAGGGCAAACAGGCCAAGCAAACACATGTTATTTTATTTGTTTTGGGGAATATAGTCATAATAGAGCTTAATTTAATGCATGCTCCTAAGAGAAGACAAAGTTACTCACAATCCCAACCCTAAACAGGAGGTAGTTAAAAACTAAAATGTTAGTAGCAGAGAGTGAACAGTCAGTCAGTCAACTGGGATGCCAAATAGGACTCAAATGAGGCATGTAGGTAGATCCCTATGATACAGTGTATTTTAATTTCAAACTTGAATAAAGGAAGTTGGAAATGGAGATGGAACAAGAACAGGAGTGGGAGAAGCTCCAGATGGAATGACAGCAAGAAAAGCCTCAGATAAAGGAGAAGAAAATCCAACTTGCCCATGAAGCTGAGACAGCCAGGATACATATCCAAAATTCCAGTTCACTGCTTACCACAATGCCTCTCCCATAGAAAGAAGCTGATGTGATAATTACAAAGATGGAGAAGATGCTGATTTCTCCTTGGCAAATTCTGAGAGAGCATGTATCCACTATCAAATTCTCCATAAACTTTATATACACTGTGTCCAAAGATACCTCTGTAGAGACTAGTGACTGTTTGGAAAAAAAGAGGTAGTTGAAGAAATATAAGCTGTTTGGGGACAGGGCAAAATCCAGTGGGACTTACTCTGGAAAATGCTGAACAGAAATTTGAGAATGCCTGGAAAAAGCCCTAGGAAACATTCCAGACCTATGGTCGCTAGATATGTGATGCATGTGAGGAGTGGAAGTAAATAGCTGGAACCAAGACTGAAGAAGACATCTGAAACCTGATGCATGTGCAACAGTTGCATGAACTTGCTTTCAGTCAAGTCCCTAAGACTGTTTTAGAAACAGATGTTTGTGCAAACCGAGAGCTCCAGGACTACCCATATCAATTGTTTTGTGGGCAGTCATCCTAAACATGCCCAGGCACATCAGAAAGAGCATGAGTAGCTGAGGTAGGTCTAGGAGTGCATACACAATCCAGGCAAAACAGGTGGTCTGAAAACCTAATAAGGGGGGCAGAAATTAGACAAGCTGCTATTAATTGTATTCTTTCAAATATGGGGGAAATGGTTACATTAAAAAGGAATTATTATTATTATTTAGATTTATTATGGCCCCCATTCCAAAAGACTCTGGGCAGCTTACAACATCAAAATATACAATTGAAACAGTTAAAAACATAACAACAAACCATAGAGCCTGGATTAAAAAGCAGCCATAACAACTAAAAATTTACAAGGTCTCCACAAACACACTAACCCCAGGCCTGGAATAGATGGGTGACTGAGGCCCTGCACCAGATTGCTATGTGGACTCTCTGTGTGTGCTGATTCAGGGGAGCACCTTAGTTTTCTGAGGAGCTCCAGAAGATGAAGCACCAGAAGCAATGCCTGGAGCACCACTGGAGAAAGACAAAGAGTGAATCTGG